CATTTTTACAGCAACTTAAAAAAATTGGCGTTTTAAACCGTTTTTTCAATCTCACGACTTTGTTATTGCAAATTTCCTAATCGGACCACCGCCATTTTGTAGCTATTTTTATTACGAACAAAATCATGTCCTAAGCATTTTTTCGTACAAAGTCATCCCGCTGAGTTATTTAAAGAAAACTACTAAAAAAAATTTGTTTCACGATTAAATTGTTAATAACTTTTTTCCTGATAAAATACTTTGTCAGCAAATTAGTCAGTTATTGTACTCATCATTTAAAGTAGACCTGTGTAATTATTTCCGGGTTATCAAGGTTTGACACACGCCGAACCTCTACCAACTGGACTATAACTAAAAAACAATAAATTGCATAAAAAAGAATGATCAACTACAAGAAACAAAAATAATACAATGGCAAATCTATACAGAAAGATTTGAACTAACAGTTCAAACAGTTTCACGATTGAATTGTTAATAACTTTTTTCCTGATAAAATACTTTGTCAGCAAATTAGCCTGTTATTATACTCATTAATTAAAGTAGACCTGTGTAGTTATTTCCGAGTTGTCAAGAAAATGTCACCAACAGTAACTTTTCGGCCTCTGCCGACTGGAGTATTAGTATGTAGTGTGAATAAAGCCATTATAAAAATATTTTAAAATAATATTTTGTCTTAGTGTGATTTAAAGAAAATAATAAATTTTCCTGTTACATCATACATTGCATATCGAAGTCGACATATCTCGAAAACAAGTAAATATAGAGAAAAACTTTATATTACAAAAATTATTCAAAATTTAACAATATTTCAGATGGACTGCATTTCCCCTTTCCAAGAATCAAAAAAATTTTTAGTATCGCCACGCCATCTATACAGAAAGATTTGAACTAACAGTTCTAACTGCAATTTGAAGCTATTCGAGGGATCTAACAACCCCAGTTTCCGGAACTAATGTAAATTTCTTCATTTCGGAGATACTGGCAGCGGGAGTGTTAAATGGCACACACTGTATTGGCGGTTGTCTTATTATTATAACCCGAAAAAAACATTATAACTGGTATAATGAAGAGATATTAGGTCTGTTTCTGCAGCAGTTGAGGATTGATTTGAAACTATCAGAGATATTTGGCCAATCGATTCGTGAACAATATACATAAACAATTACGTTAACAACTTAAGTGGTCGAGTGTATCTGATAGTTTGAAAATAGTTTGAGATTCCTGCAGAAACAAATCTATTGTTTCTAACTTGCTTAGATTTTCTAAAATGCTGAACAAAAAATTGCCCATATAAACGCCCCCTTAAGGCAAAATGAAACTTATTTTTTTTTAGTGCGAGTGCCGGTTCTCTTAAAAAATAATAGAAATATTTAAAACAGCGGGAAAAATTCTACACAGCATTGGGCAAATTATTGACAAAGGTGACAAAGCAAAAATAAAATGATATTACTAAATCTTTAATAAGTAATTAAGTTATAAATATAATATATGTACGTTTTTTTATCCTTAAAAGCAAACGATTATTTCTTCACAGAATTATTGAAGGATGTTAATTTTTATTTTGTTGCTTAATACATAGCTACCGATCAAAGTTCATTCATGTTTTTTTTCAACACTTCCTTATTTGATAAGTAATTTGTATTAGATAAAAATTTTTATTCATCTTTCAGATGAATGAAAATAACCAAAACAAAATGAAGGACAATTTTTTACTACCTTTGATTGTTTCTTAGATAACAACGTCTTCATTGAAATACTTAGCAATATTGCTAAGTAACATCATCTATGTTTAAATATATGTATCCGAAAATGGAGTTTAAAATATTTTTTGATATAGTATAACTTTTTCCGGATTACTGTTGTACCAGGTTGACAAAAACCACTTTCAGTGATTTATACCTACATCATATTTACCAATTTTCCTCAATTTTACAGCCAAATCAGAAATCATATATTTTGCAATAAGTTGCTCAAGATACAGAATTATTTTGTATATGATGCAGATGCAAGGAATACATTCATTATTTTTTAAATCGGTAACTTTGGACAAAAATCATGAAACAGGATAATTTTTATTTTTAAAAGTGCACAAATAACTTCAGGCATTATAGGCACAGTTCAAGTAGAGTTTACTGCTAGTCTTTGTCACTCAGAGGTCCTCAATTTGAAGTTCTGTTGTAACTTGGGTTGTCAAAAATACATTTTTTGTTGTAATATTTGAGTTTTTTCTTTGGCACTATACAAAATTCTGTTCACTAAACTCATTGATATGATTGAATAGAAATTTACAAGACTTTTCAAAAGATATATCGCATGACCTACATTTGTATTAAAAAACATCGATGACGTCATCACTGTCACACATGACGTCATGTAAAACAAATATCTCGCATTATGAATTTATTCATTTTAATTGCTACATAAGGCGAACTTTGTATAGCTCAATATCTGTCTACCTAACTAAAATAATATGTAGGTACGTCTTAATGAAGTGCTGAAGTATAATTTATGTCTGGCACGCAGGGTGAATAAATTTACATTTTATTTGTATTAAGAAATGAGTTTATATTATGTTTTAGATAATATTGCATTTTCTTGAGCTGCTAAAATTAAGTTAAAATTCTCGTTATGAACAACGAAACTATTTATTTAATATTTCCTATATATAATTTACTTTTATATTACATTTTAGAACAACGCAAATACTTAGTGGAATAATTAACCCATAAATTCCAGAAAAAACAATTTCATAAAAATAATTGTATCTTAATCCATGCATAGATTTTCTATAAAATTCGGAATGTAAGCTTATATTCTCTTCTCACATTCCCAGACTAACCATGTTTTACCACTTCCTTAATTTTCTCTAAACATCGTAGCATAAAAATATTATGAATGAAATATTATGTAGTATAATTTCTACTATAGACGTGTTTTACCGAGCAATATCTACACGAATGTTGGACTTTGTTAGACAAAATGCTGTTTCAATTTATAGTAATCTATTAGTGCACCTACAGCTATTAAACAGTTACGACTTATAGTTAATTAAATTTGCAACTGTAATTTTGCCTTGATCATTGGTGTATTTATAGCATTAGCTCCAAAAGGATAGCGATCTACGTGTAATACATGTCGAATGAGGACCTCTCCAACCATGGAATCGTAGTCGTTGGCGTTGCCGTTATATGGAGTTCATTGTTTCAAGATTGAGATAAATAGCACTAAAACAACATTAGGTTTTACGGTCTACAGAAACTTGTTAACGTGTCATGAGAGGAGATATATATAATCCTGTAACATCCATCATATACGTGAGCTATAAATTTACCTTCAGCTGAAAGAACAGCAATTGTTTTCTAAATATCTGTAAGTCATTAGTAATGGAGAACTACAACATGAGCACCAACATATCGAACTGTCATATCGTGAATACTACCAAGTGGTAGTCTCTCTCTGTGCCCTATAACGTCGTACAGGAGGTGTTTAATGAAAATGAAAGTGTTGTTCGTTGTAAAAATAAAAATAAAAATAGGAATGTATTGAGTTTCAGTGACCATCGAGTAGAACATAACTCAATTAATAGCTACTACCTAAATAAAGGTAAACCTATGTACTCTACTAACTGTACAGTTAAAAATAAATAAACCATTTTTAATTGTGTCACAAAAATTAAATGATAAAAAAATCCTATATCTTTAGGTAATCAAATTGTATATACTTTCATAAATGCAGTCGCTTTAAACCGTTGTCTTATAAGGAACATTTGTATTCACAGAAGTGCATCATAGTAGTATGCTATTTATGCTGCCTATGTATGTAAATAAATCATATTTAAACTTTTCCATGCGAATCACTTCCTGATCGCAGTTTGTAGATAATCTAAAATATGTAAAAGTTCTTTGCAAAAAAAGCAGTGCATGCTTTTTGCCATGTGGATTAGTTATTAGTTCATGTTCTCGAACGGTGTGCGGAGGTTCTGGCTCCACAATCTTCTCTTCAACGGCTTTTTTCCTACTTTTGCAATTTTCTGTTCTAATTCTCAAGCACTCATACTTTCTTTTGGTCACAAATTTTCTTCTTTACCGACTCTGTTCTTCATCCGACATTTTATAGGTTAAATCAAGCAGCTGTGCGAGCGGTCACATAGCATAATGTATACCTATATATACATGACAAGGACTGCCTACTTACAAATAATAAACTCAGCATTTATTTATGCATACTGGGCAAAAAAAAATAATTAGGAAATGGAAATATATAATTTTAAGTTTTTAAACCTTTTTGGCTTTGATAATAAATTACTCGAGAGCTAATGATCGTGCAGAAAATCTAAGCAAGGATTTGAAGACGTTCTTATCGTTTTTTGATAAAAAAAAATCGATGCAAGACTTATTTTAAAGAAAGAAAAAAATTACATATTTAAGGATTTTCGCTAAACTTGAGATAACTTTACAAATAATGAATAGATTAAGGATATTTTCGTTGATTGTAATCCGAATGATTCAAATTGTCACTTTTGCTAAAAATCAATCAAAGAATAACTTTTGCGTTTTTTTTAATGAAAAGTTCGTTTTTCGCAAAAATCTGTTTTTCTTTTTCACCAAAAAATGTAAAATATCGAAATAAATAAAAAAAAAATTTAAAAATTATTTTCGAATATGTAGACACAAAAAAAATTTTAGGTCAATTTTGAAAAGAAAGTTGTTTTTTTAATTAAAGCTCATGGAAACGATTTGTGCGCTAGAGATGTTTTCGAGATTTGCAGAACAAAATATAGCTAGTGACTGGGGGATATAAAACTTTTTGCAATTCATTTTTAAATTGACATTTAAGAAATTTAGAATTTCTTTTTAAACTGAAAAATCACAACACAAAATCTAGATAACGTATTTTAAATGTTATGACCTACTGACGTCATGTATCATAAAGTTATGACCTTATTGATATAAAAAAATATTTAAAACGAATGTTTTCTTATCAATCTTATCTTATTCCAGGGCGGTGAGCCAGTGGGCCCCGGCATGGACTGCCTGCAGCTGCGCCAACCGGCCGGGCCGTTCCACTACCTCATCAGCGAGCAGGCCAAGTCCTTGGTGGCCCTGCAGGAGCTTCAGCATGAGGTCGGAGCTCTCCTCGAGTTTCGCGATCTCGTCATGGAGACGTTCCCCAACCTGCGCAGTAAACTGGCCACCTCCAATCCCTCGACGATGACGTCGCATCACCACCACAGCTCCAACATACCCGTTTCCATAAGGCCTGGCGACTGGACCCCTGGAGTGAGGGTTAGGAAGAAGTTGGGCAGCAAGGACGAAACGAGAAGTAGTAAGAAAAGCGGTGATACGGCTATTCAGGACTCCGGTTTTAGCACGGAGACGTCGAGTAAGGAGACGCACAGCGCTTCGTCCACGGCACCTCCACCTTCCACAGCTGCAGGTAATTGACTTAGTTTTGCTAGTAAAGGACGTGGTTGGAATTTTCCTTGACAGTTGTCATAGGTTCCACAATTTCCAGGCAGGTTGCCGTCGGTTTAGATTTCTTAACATTTTAAGAGAAGCTCTCTTCTTCAAAGATATTTTGAAACAGTTTTTTCTGAAGAACTGAGGAATATGTCTATTAAAAGCCAAGAAATCTAAACCAACAACAACGCAATCGACAAGAACATTGTATAACGAGCTATGAAAAAGTACTATTTTCTGTTTTTTTTACTGGTAACGTAATTCTAAAATTAAATAATAATGCTTTTGATCAGTGCTCAAACAGTAATATAGAATTTCGAGAATTATTTAAAAAAAAGTAGTAACTCGATAAATCAGTTTTTTATAAATTTATTTTCCACATAAAATTTACTTGAAAATGTAAATATCTAGAATTTTGGATATGAACATTATGTCAAAATTGAATGAGAGAAGGAAATAGCAAATGTATTTACCAAGTTTGAATAACTGAAAATATTCCAGCAGGGGTAAAGGAAAATATTAAAATATAACCTTTTATTATGCGTCAGTTATACAGGGTGTTAAAAAAAGAGTGTAAAATATTTCAGGAGGTAATAGTATGAACCAAAATAAGCAGAAAAGTCTTAATAAACATGGGTCCGCAAAGTAACGGTTGCGGAGATATGGACCACTATTCGTTTTTCAAACATTTTATTTTATTGGGAATAAACCGACAAAGGAAGCTTTTAACAAACAAAAAACAAAGTTACAGAAGATGTTCAAAGTGCCCTCCGTCCATTTTCAAGCAGGCACGACATCTTCGTCTCAACGATATTCGAACTCTTTCGAAAACACCCTCCTTGGTTTGGATTTCTTGACACTTTGATTAATCCGTAGCTGCAGCTCTTCCAGGCTATTTACAGGAGTACCATACACTAATGTCTTCAAATATCCCCAAACAAAGAAATCTAGATCTTGGAGGCCATAAAACAGGTCCGGCCCTTCCTACCCATCTATGTGGAAAAGTTTGGTGTAAATGCTCTCTAACGGCCATGGAAAGATGAGCTGGAACACCATCATGCTGGAACCACATTTGTTGCCTCTGATTCAATGGAATGTCTTCCAAAAACTCATACAGTGTGTTCTGCAGAAAGTTGAGGTAAGCAGCGCCTGTTAATCGGTTTGGTAAAACAACAGGACCTAGAAACCTGTCACCTACAATACCCATCCAAATGTTTAATGAAAAACGTGCCTGATGTCCAGATTCTATTAGAGCATGAGGATTTTCGTCGGCCCAAATATGCGTATTGTGAAAATTAAACACTCCATTTCTTGTGAACCCGGCTTCATCAGTAAAAAGAATGTTTGCAAGAAAACGAGGGTCTTCAGCATCATGACGTAGAAACCAGCGGCAAAAAACCAAACATGATTGATGATCATTTATTGGATTTAAGGCCTGTACTCGTTGCACATGGTATGGATAAAGCAGTTGCTCGTGAAGGATTCTCCAAACAAGAGGACCACTAATTCCTACCTCGGCTGATATTCTCCGCACACTCGTACCTGGATTCTGCTCTACCAGTGCTAGAATTTCTTCTTCTGCTCTAGGAGTGGATACCGACCTTGGTCTTCCGGATAAATGGCACTGTTTGCTCAAGGAACCGGTATCACGCAATCTTTGGTGAATTCTTCCAAACATGCGTTGTGAAGGAATCTGGCGATTTGGATAAACGTCAACATAAAGACGTCACGCTTCGGTGGCGTTCCCATTAGCACGACAATACATGAAATGCATGTCTGTTAATTCTGCGTTAGAGTAACCAGCCATAGCGAAAGAAAACTTGTGCACTGAGAACAACTGTCAAATACGTACTGTTTATTTCACTAAACATCAACCAACTATTATAAGAAAATACACAACGTTTTTGCAAAATAAAAAAAGGGGCTAAAAAACATAAAACATTCCATATCTCCGCAACCGTTACTTTACGGACCCATGTTTATTGAGACTTTTCTGCTTATTTTGGTTCATACTATTACCTCCTTAAATATTTTACACTCTTTTTTTAACACCCTGTATGTAATGATAATAATAGTCCAGTTTACTTTAATGTATCACGACAATAGACCACAGAAAAATTTTATTAGAAAATAAATAAAAAGGAAACACGAGTCTGAAAAATTTAAAATGTTATTTTATCAAAAGTAATAGTATTCCGGTCGATGTACATAATGAACTGTCTGAAAATTATCAAACTTAACAGCGACTTTCAGGAGTGATTCTTTACAAATTGTACAAAAAAAATTGAGTTCAATTTTTTTTTCCAAAAGTATTTCGCAAATGGACATGAAACAAGGCTTTTGGTCAGTTACTCAAGAATTATAGAAGATATAAACTTTAAACATGGTAACTACGAGTATACAGTTCCCTCATGGCATTTACGTATGTGTAAAATTAAAAATTTAAACAAAGTAGTATGGGAATTAGGGGTTTGAAGGGATGCGACTGTCAAAACAATGTTACTTCATATCGCAGGGAATCTTTAGATTGGGATAGACCATTTCTGATTAGAACGTTTATACATTTTCTTTTTTTCTTCTTTGAATTTAACCATTCTCAGTTGAAACTCAAAAAAACATATATCTACACAAATGAAAATCAGTTTATCCTAAAATTAAAGATAGGTAGAAAAACTGTAGACGTATGGAATGAAACTGTATGGAATGTTACTCAGATGTTTCCTGGACCTGCAATCTCAGCAACCTTTCTTTATCTGCCACATTGGTTGCAGTAGATAGATGAAGTATGCCTGTCGACAACTCCTCTTCGATGGTTCATTTGAGAACTTATTGGCTTACCTCTTTAGCGTGAGTGTTTCAATTGCCACGTATAGACACCAGTGTTGCAAGGGGGCTCGAGATATTGTAGGGCTGTCCTTGTCTTTCTAACTCATCAGTCTTCTCGATGGCTAGGATGAATCCTTCTGACATTCTAACTTTACTAAAACATCCAACGATATCAGATAATATGAAGGTACTATATGATTCAATTTCAGCTCTTTTTATTTCGATGCTAAGAATTCCTAACGTTGATATGGTTTTTGGACTTTTCTGATGAAGAGTGCTACGAACAAACTCAAGAAGTACAAAATAGTAACTACTATGAAGGAACTACACTGTCTATATCTTCAATTATTGTTGTGGTGATCAGAAACAGTGTTTCATATTTATTTCTGGAGGATTTTGGAGCCCTCAGGAATCGGTTCAAATACATAGATTGTATTTGTAATTAATAACGAGCGTTCAAATAAAAACGTGGTCAAGTTGGTTCTGAAAATTTGGACGTAGGGCCTAGCATATAGCAAATGAACTTAAACGTCATATGTCAAAGCGCTATATCGCCGCTATCAATTTGAATATTTTCGTTTTAAAAAGCGTTTAAAATGGTGTTTTCTCAAGAACAAAAAGTGTTTATCATAGAGTCCTACTTTAGAAATGGACGCAAGATTGATGGAATATGGAAGTATTCTATTGAGGAATGTTTCATAGAATTTCAAAATCAATTTCCCGGCGTTGTTGAGTACAAAATTTTTCAAAGTGCAGTTCAGCGTTGTGTTAATGTTTTTCGTGAAACGGGCAGTGTAACAAGAAAAGAAGGAAGCGGCCGACCTAAAAAGCGGACTGAAGAATTAAAAGAAAATGTCCAACAAATAATGGAAAATGCGCCAAGAACTTCTGTACGTGTTTTATCACAAATGGTGGGAGTATCAGTCGGTACCTGCCACACAGTGTTAAAAAAAGATTTGCGTTTGTTCTCCTATCGTTTAACTTGTCAGCAAGAACTTCATGAAGTTGATTTTCCGCGACGGGCTGTATTTTGTGAATGGTTTTTAAACAACTACGGTGAACTTCATAATATCACCTTTTTTTCTGATGAAGCCTGGTTTCATTTAAGTGGTTACGTAAACTCACAGAATATGAGAATGTGGTCTTCTGAAAAACCAGATAACTTTTTTGTCGAGGGCCCTCTACACGCTCAAAAAATTGGAGTTTGGTGTGCTCTCAATCGAAGGAGGATTTATGGACCTATTTTTTTTAATGGTACTCTTACTGCGCAAAGGTATAGAGAAGAAATTATCGCTCCTTTTGTTAACCAGCTGGAAGAAAACGAAATTACAAACTTTTACTTTCAACAAGATGGCGCAAGGGCACATACGGCAGGCGAGACGATGAATATGTTGAGGGAAGTTTTCCAAAATCGACTAATAAGTCTCAATGCTGAACATGAATTTCCACCGAGGTCATGTGATATTACGCCGTGTGATTTCTTTTTGTGGCCTTACCTTAAAAACACTATTTTTGAACTGCCTATTCCTGATTTAAACCATCTGCAGGCTCGACTTATAGACAAGATTCGTGAAATTAACAATACCCCGAGCATCTTAGAAAATGTCTTTAATTCTTTGAGGAACAGGTGTGAAAAGTGCTTGGAACAAGGAGGGGGACACTTTCAGCAGCTGCTTTAATTTATTGTTATAACAAGGAGGGGGACACTTTCCGCAGCTCCTTTAATTGTTTGTTATTGTTACCACGATTATTCTTTAAAATAAAGTTATATAGTCATTAACGTTATTGGAACTGACAGCTGCTATACAGCTCGTTGAGAAATGAGGTTAAGTTGGTCGCTATAAGCTACTCCCTACGCCCAATGTGTCAGAACCAACTTCGACCACGTTTTTATTTGAACGCTCGTTACATATAAATAAGAATATATAACTATTTATTGGCAGAAAACATAGAAAAAAGCTTGTAGTTTTTATTTGTTTGTTTTCTATAGATTTGTTCCAACTTCGCTATAATACCATGTCTAAAATTAAATATAAATCAATAATGTATGGATTGATGATTATAAGAACAAAGTTCCTAAAAAACGCAGATCTTCTTTTTCTTCTTTATCAAAAGATATGTATTAGTTTGTCCGTCAGACACCTGTAGCAGCAGGAAATTTGATTAAAATTAAATTACCTTTCAAATTCGTTCTCTCTAGTTTAACTCGGATTTCCTAGCGGAGACAAAGCTTTTACGACAAGAAATAATTAATAATCGATAAGATCAGACGGGACAAGTCCAAAGAGGATATTAAACATTATCGGATTTGCTTTGTAGGAATTAGTTTCGTTGTAGGTAAATATAGAGTTAATTTATTTACTTCCGAGTATCAGATCCATTTATTTTCTATGTTAACGTGAAAGGATAAAAATGGGAAACCATGAGTAACAAACAATTTATACAAAATTCGATGAAAGAAGACTGAAATGAATCGTTAAAGAGTTCTATATAACATCAGCAAAATTTTATAGTTAGTCTACGTTATGCATAAATTGTATAAAACGGTTCGCAAGAATTTTTCTTTCAAAAGATCATACATTTTTATTTTAAATTTGACTTTGTTCCAGATTTTTTTAACAAAAGTTATTACAGTCCCTACAATATTTGTTGAGAGAATTCCAAGAAAAGAATAAGCCAATAAAGTTCTCTTATCGGAACTACTGTAACAGTTTACAGCTGCAGGGGCATGCCTTGAAATTTTCCGCGTTATTTTCAGAAATGTGTCTTTATTTCTTTTGCAGTACAGTACAGTACAAGACATATATCAGAAGATAATACATTTATATACACGCTAGTACAAAAAAAGGAATAAACAAAGAAACATCTAGTTACATAAGTAACATAGTCAAAGTTTTCACAGCTTCTAGTTTAAATAAAACAATTTTCTTTGTTACATTGTTTTTAACTTGAGCCCATATCAGTTCAATCGGATTTAAGGACCCCATATTCTTTAAATAGTGTTTTCCACAAAGACAAATAATTTCAAACATTTAATAACTGAATAATCTAAAGCTTATCAAATAATAGGAATGTTATGTCATGCCATCTGGGTATTTTCAAAGACGCCGCAGTAAAACGAATAAACAGGTGCAAAAAACGATCAAACCAACAAGGTTTTAGGTACTGAAATCTACGAAAATACTAACTTTTTTATATATAACCACATGTAAATATTCTTATAACATTTACTTGCTTAGTCCTACATATAAAATTGTTTACTTTTATTTATAAGTACGTGAAAATAATTCTTAAAATGTGGGGTTAGGATAACAGAAAACGCATGTTTTACAAACGCTCTTTTTAGTTATTATTTTATTTGGGTAAATTTAAATGGTAACAATGAATAAACAAAACATCAAGGATTTTATTGTGCTTACTATTGTTGTACACGTTTTACTTTTCAAGATTTCAGTACCTAAAAATGCCAGAAATTTCACCATTTCTCGGCCAGGGATATGGCCACCTTAAATTAGGATGGTAGGGTGGGAGCCTCAAAGCCACGTGCTCGTTTTTTTTAAGTAAATATTTAACGCGAATATCAGTTTTCCCTATTAGCACCCATCGATTGTTTTTAGTTTTCCGCCACCTGAATCCCAGTTTTTCAATAATGGTGTATAGGGAGGTACGTTTTCCAGAAAATTGGAATTTCGCCCTTAACCTTTCTTGTAATTATGTCGGAGTAACTCGACATCCTTTCGTTTTGTGAAAATTATAAATCATATTTCTAAGGCGAAAACCTCGCATCCGTGAGAGAAATTTTCCGACTCGATTTTTTTGCATATTCAGATTCGTGAGATGTTCCTTAACATGAATCAAGATGATGCCAGCCGGAAATCTGGTGCCCATTTGTTTAAACAAACTTTTTTTAAACAAATTGTAAAAATTGGTTTTTTCACTTTTAGGTTTTTTGGCACATTAGAAATAAAAAAGTTCCTATGCACTATGCTTCTAAAATTGATAGTTTTGAAGTTATAAACAATTTAACTTGCTAAAAATGCGATAATGACGATTTTCAACGGCCGATTTACGGGTTAAAAATTGTTATTTTTGATGTTGCCAGGTACCTAAATTAAAGTTTAAACATCCCCCTACAAGATGCTGAAGAGTTTTTGGGACTCGGATTATTCTAAAGCTTGTTTTTTAATTGTTAATAAAGCGCTATGAACCGCGCGCGCGCCTCTCGCATACGCTGATTCGCTATTTCGTCAGCTTATGTTTTATATCTGAATTAAGTGTGAAAAACCAATTTTTACAATTTGTTTAAATAAAGTTTGTTTAAACAAATGGGCACCAGATTTCCGGTCGGCATCATCTTGATTCATGTTAAGGAACATCTCACGAATATGAATATGCAAAAAATCGAGTCGGAAAATTTTTCCCACGAATGCGAGATTTTCGCCTTGTCTATCTATAATCTATTTGTTCCCATTCTGGTGTGTTGGTTTTTGTATGTAATTGATCTGTATTGGAACTATTTTATTTTAATTGACCTAGAATTAATCAAGTGAATTTGGGAAACGTAGGAGTACTTAAAAATTATACTAACCCATGTTTTCGCTTCAGACGATTTTTAAATATTTACATTTGACGCTGAACGTTGTAAAAGGTAACACCGCATTGTGTTTCATTCGATTTCCGCCAGTGACGGGGCCATTTTACACTGGGTATACAAACAATTACACAAGGTTAAAAGTAACTTCGCCAATAATCAACACAATTAATTAATTTGTTTTGCCTGAATTGCTACGGAAGCTTTTGTAATATGGCAGAAGCAGAAACGCCACTAAAATCAGTCGTGATTGAAAAGTTAATCGGGTGCCGTTTCAGTGGAAGTTGTTCGAACAAATTTTCATTTAATAATATGTGCTACGTTTCATATTAATGATACAAATACTCCCTCGTTTTGTATTTGTTAACTTTTACAATGAATATTTTCCATTGCTTTTTAAAGTTTGTTTTTGTGACCTTTTCAAAAGCTGGTGACATATGATGTTCGAAAATGTGTAAATCGCCTGGAGATGGCAGTGTGGGCATTTATATGTATTCACTTTTAAATCAAGGTAATGAAATCTACCGTGACATGTGAGAGTGCTATTTCATTTTTTCGTGTACATTTTGTGAATTAATCGCGAATTGGTACCACATCCTATATTTTTATTCCATGTTTGTTTTGCATAATTTCATCTGATATAGGCACTGCATGGTTTTATAATCTAATTGGCACTATAAAAGCAATATTGCAACTACTTATGTTTTCATAACCAACTTTTGATTTTGTTACGGACGCCATATTAGATTTTTGCACAATTATCTAGATGCAGCATTAAATTTTAAATTCAAGGATGTATAATACTTTGATGAAAGAATTTTATTAAAGGCCAAAAAGGCCAAAAAACGTCAATAGTTAGAACCAAAAGAAAACGACCACTGTAAATAAATCGGTCTGAGTGAAAGCAAAAAGATACAGAGTGAGTCCATTGAGTGAAATTATTGAGTACATTTTGAGTATTTGAACTAAAACTGATAGTCTCACTCAAAAAATTTAATTGTACTCAAAACTAATAGAGAAAAATTTGAGTGAAATTGAGTGAAAATAAGTCCAATTTTCTTACAGTGTAGGCTGTCTCCAGACGTGCCAGTTCCATAAATTTTCTGTGATTTTTTGAATGTAAAGTCCTGTGTTTAAAAGTCCCATTTTATTCAGTTTTGTTTTTTCCAGGAGCAGCAGAAACTGACGAGGTGGAAGACGAATTGTGGAACCTATTAGACATAATCCATCGAAAGGGTACGCGATTAAAAGATGAAGCCGAGGCACTACAAGGAACCATCCGCGAACAAGGCACCATGCGGCAAGAAGGCAATTTCCAAAGGATACTCTTCCATTCCTCCGCCGATGACGTTCGGCAGCTTCGTCAGGAGCGCGACCTACTTCTCGACAGGCTGGCTGAGATGGAAGCAGAGGTTCTCGCTGGAAGAGTGCACACTTCCAGGTTACAGGAAGACCTGGAGAATCTTCTCTCCACCAAGCACGACTTGGAGGAACAACTCAAGGCGGTTGTGACGCAGAGAGGTAGGAATGATATTTTAACATATATAACTATAATGTAGCATATTTTGAGCGATTACGTGTTACCGGAAAATTTGAGACATATTTCATAGATTTGTTCACATTTTGCTAACGGTCGTGTCCTTTAATTGATAAATAGTTTTAATTGTTCCTAATTAACCATTTCAGTTTTTAGATTATATTTCCTAGATATCTTGTAAGTTTATTTTTTGTTATATATTTCAATATTGCAAAATGAAAATATATTAATAAACATGTTCGAATCAACGAATAGGGTTTGCATGAATAGGGTTGCATTTCTCTCATTGGTCACAAAATATGTTGCATTATCGAGGGCTTGGGCTACGTTTTGTTCTTCACTTATATTATTTGGTTGAGCGCGTGTCAAGCTCTTTGTGAGAAAAAAGATGTTCATCGGAGTGAAGTCCAATGCCTTCAAGCGCCAAGAAATGAAATCATCGCGACCTTTCTTGAGCAAACTTTGAGGTAATGTGTCTTACAGAAACGCTAAGTATGCAGTTCCCGTAAAATAAAACTTGAGAATTTTCTTGGTTCCAAACATGACCAGTAACCAAAATTAATTGCCATACATGCAAAGAATCTGGTAAACTGCTGATTTTGTCGTATATTCTCCAATTTCCATTTTAAGACCTGTTCACCATGATAAAGACAATACTCTTGAGGCGTAAAAGTTACTATTGTTACGCTTTTGCATGACAGTCTTGTCTAACACGTTCTACTTGCCAGGTAAATCATTGAACTAAATTAACTACAAAACAAATGGCAGTGTCTACAGACAAACACTAACCGAGTGTCTTTATGATCTTTTTCAGTATATCACTGCAATCGAATAGTACATAGCATAGAGACATAGCTTTGGGAGTTAGAATTCAATAAATAAAATTAATGACCTCCGAATACCCCGAAATTTTACTGGTAATCTTTTACATAGTGGATTGACCTGCCATTTAGATATTGCCGGGTTGTAATAGATCATATATTTTTAAATGTACTAGGCGCTAGTTAAATTTCATGGTATAGAATTGTTAAAATATGAAATAAATTAATGGAACGTTTCATCGATATGAGAAATAGTTATATGTAGTCATTCGTACTTCTAACAGTAAAAAATTAATTCCGTTTTAGAGCACAAACACTTTCATTGCTGAATCTGAATCAGAATTCGCCATACGTATAAATATATCAAATATTTGCAATTTATTCCTCCAAAATAACACAAAGTTTGTCATGGATATTGGCAATTGAATATACATTTTCGAATGCATCGATGTGCAGCATCCACACGATATGACGTTTGTTTACGTTTGACAATCATTTGGCAAGTAGCCGCATCGTCTTGAGGGTTGAATAAAAGGAATGCATAATAATATAAGTTCATAAAAATAGAGGTCTTTTAAAATTATATATCTATACCAATTATGGTATGTTTGTTTTCATGGCTCAAAATGGCGAGTTTCGACTTTTTCTTTATATCCTTTATCTATTTATTGTAATTACATTTTTATCCCACGATTAGCTGATTGCTGCGTTGGAGCATGGATTTAGAAATGTGTAGGGGCTTTTTGATTGTTAGTGCAGTTATAATGGTGCTTTGCCCTTTATGGTATCTAATTTGGTTATGCGTGTAAATATTTCATTATTTTTAGTATGCAACAAATTTCGATATTATATTGAAAAGGTGTTACTTACTACGCAACACTGATAAGTAGGTATGCAAAAAGAAAGATGTAAATAAAAATCCATATTCTGTTATAATATAAAAAATCTTTCACTTTTATTTTAAGAAAATAGAATACAAGTGATAATAAATAGTTTCTATGAATTAGAGTTTAAGGTTGTCAGTATTGAAACATTATATATACATTTGTCGCTAGTTATGAAAAAATATACAGGGTGCTGTGCGCAAGTATTTTAAGGAGGTGTTTAAAAAGTAATTTTAGTGGGGGTACTTCCTATACACTTTTTCGATTTGAGACCCCCTGAAAAATATTCAAATCTCAAAATGACCGAAAAAATTAGCTTTTATTATTTTTATTTTTTTAGTTCATATTTGCTTAGCTTTTCCTAAAAAAGAATTTTTGCAAAAGCATGTCAAAAATTACGATTGTTTTTGGTAACTTATTTATTAGGTGTACCTAATCGTCAAGGAAAAATAATTTAATTTTTTTGCTCGTAAACCATTCAGTATGCGAAAATATGGGAAGAGTAAAAAAAGTTTCTTGTTGGAATTGGCTACGTAGAAAAAAGTTGTGAGAGAAATAAAACCAAGGGATCCTAATTTCTTTCATTCAAATACATAAACCAGAAAAAAATAGACTACCAAAAAATACCATTCAACTAGTTGTTATCGTGTACCAAAATTCAAATTTCTAAGTTTAACCGTTTTCGTGAAAAAAAATAAAAGGTAATTTTTTCGGCCATTTTGAGATTTAAATATTTTCTCAGGGGCGGCTCAAATCAAAAAAATATATTGGAAGTACTCCCGCCCCCCCTAAAACTACTTTCTAAACACCTTAAAATATTTGCACATCATTATGAAACACCCTGTATATATTTAAAAAGATATGGAATAATGTGATTCACAATAAAATTATCTGCGGATAGATTGTAAAGGCATTGTATTGCCTAATCCATGGATTGTGGTGTCCTCTTCTTCCTAGTTGCACGGTGTGTCTTCTGCCGGACCGATATTACTCAAATATTTTCCGAGTCTGCTGCGTCCTATTATGTCCGATGATGTCTGTTCGATGGCCGTTTTAGCTACTTCATTTGTTTTTAATTAATTCATCAGTCGCCTCGTTTTCCCGATAGTCATCAAAGCATCCAAACAATCCCTTACCAGCCTGGATCTGACATGAGTTGAGTTGATTGACATCAGCGCAATCCAACTGTTCGTTTTTTGAGAGAATGTACTCTTCCTTATTAACTCCACTGCACACTATTTAGTGGCCATCACTGTGATCGAGGCTGTAATATTTACTTGACACCATATAGGTATCCCAGTATTTGTCTTTGAGCTCTAGCACAATACAATATTAAATTTAATTTTGTGCTATAAAAGCTTCATTCTTGTCGTCTCAAAAAGTCCGACCTTTTATACTTAAAGTACCTGGAAGTTCACTCAAACAATCTCTTACTAGCTGGATCTGATATGAGTTGATTGTCCTTGACGCTGTCTGACTGTCGAAGTATTTAAATAACAATTATTTTTTTTTACATTCCTCCTTATTAACTCTATTACAAAGTATTTATTGGCATCTTGACTGGAAGGTTCACTTAACCCCTATATCCCAGCTCTCATTATTGTATTTGTCTTTCAGCTGTCCCCCGTTTATGTTATAAAATACCCTAAAATATTTTCAATTTCGCTTTAGAAATTTCAATTAGTTTTGCACTTTGAGAAGATAAGTTCTAATTTTTTATAATAACAGTTGTTATGAATCTTACCTACATCTATATCAAGAACAAAAAATTTAGTGATGTCATCGCAAGTAGGTAGACCCACTAAATAGTGGGCATTTATCAAAAGAAAAGAAAAACATTTTATTATGTGCATACGTAAAGAAATTCCAACCTTTATTAGAAAGAATACTGAAAATTGTTCACATTTTATATATCCAATTTCTGTGGCATGTGTTCATTGGGGAATTTTCAATAAAATAAATATTTTAACTATATATGGAAAATATACCAAAGCGAACTTCAAACGGATAATTGGATAGACTGACACAAATATCAAAATTAAATTAACAAATTCTACTTTTTTTAGTAAGTACCTGGTAACAAATTAGTGTAGTTCTTCATACTGCATTTTGCGCGGACAAAAAGAAACATGAATTTTTGACAACACACATGACATTGTGTCAGAAAATATACCGTACGCGCCTACACTATGGAATAAATTCAGTAAAAACGAAACAAATTTTTTTTGGGAAAAATCCTCGAACAGGTCGATTTTTAATTTAAAAAATACATATTTTAGCATAAAAGGCGATTTTCAACCGTCATTTGTTTTCGAGTAATGACGTCATCGAGATTTTTTTTAAATAGCAACCTCCTATTTTTTCTTGATTCTGAAAGATTGTTTCATTGTCGATCCGACAGTATTAAAATGTTGCCATCTTACATAGGAATGTTCGAGTAAATGACGATTGATTGTTAGAAAACGTAAATTTTATTCATTAAAAAAATAACAATTACTATGTCAAGCAAATACAATTCATTAAGTTTTTTACTTAAATTAAATGTTCGAATTGCCACCCACCGACTTCTTGACAATACGCAAGTATGTGTAGAAATTCTTCTTGCACATTATGAATTATTTCTAGGGTAACTCTGTGTATTTCATCTATAATGCAATTTTGGAGTTCTTCTAAATTATGTGGTCTATTAACGTACACTTTGGACTTTAAGTAGTCCCATAAGAAATAGTCCAGGGGTGTAAGATCTGGGGATCTCGCGGGCCATTCTATCGGTCCTCGTCTGCCGATCCACCTCCTAGGAAAACAATTGTCCAGAAAATCTCGAACAGGGCGCGCATAGTGCGGAGGTGCACCGTCTTGCTGAAACCATATGGTGTCATCAGGAATATCAGGGTCATTATCGTTAGAAAAAATTACTGCAAGCAATGGAACAAGGTCATTTTGTAAAAATTCTAAATATCTTTCTCCTGTAAGGGTTCCTTCAAAGAAGAAAGCCCTACTATTATATTGTCAACTATTCCAGCCCACACATTCAATTTCTGTGAGTGTCTCTGCCATCCAATGAGGATTTTCCCGACTCCAATACCTGCAAGTTTGACGGTGCACTGTACCATTGAGACAAAAGGTGGCCTCGTCTGAAAAAAGTATTTGCCAGTGTAAATCTCCATTTACTTGACATAAATCTGTCATAATTTCACAAAAGTGTAAGCGGCGGTCGGGATCGCCTTCATTGAGTTTCTGCACAAGTTGAATTTTGTAGGGATGATATTTTTCCTGCCTCAGGATACGTTAATTGGCTGATACAGCGATCTGGATGTTTTTCATTAAATAAATCGCAAGCTTCCTGCTGCGTTCTAGTCTTATCCCCGCATCCGATAAGAATTAAAATTTCAATTCTTTGTGTGACAGTTAAATGTGCCATAATACTTTAAATTCAACAATAATTTTTATATCACTTACAATACTTAGAAAGTCAGTAGATACTGACACTTTGTAAAGATTTACATCTACGTGATCCATAAAAAACTTCAGGTATTTCGAAAAACTAAGTTTGATAACGATTTTGCTTTATTTTAATTGATTTGGGTTTTCTAATATTCAATCGTCATTTACTCGAAAACTTTCCTATGTAAGATGGCAACATTTTAATACTGTCGAATCGACAATGAAACGATCTTTCAGAATTAAGAAAAAAATTAGGGGGTTGCTATTTAAAAAAATGTCGATGACGTCATTACTCGAAAACAAATGACGGTTGAAAATCGCCTTTTATGCTAAAGTATGTATTTTTTAAATTAAAAATCGATTTGCTAGAGGATTTGTCCCAAAAAAAATTTGTTTGGTTTTTACTGAATTTATTCCATACTTTAGGCGCGTACGGTATAATATCGTTTATAAGTAAAACATACACAAAAAAATATATGTTAAAATTATCGATAATAATATATATGCCGGGAAACAACTACCCTGCGGACTACAGGATTTCGTGGTACCTATAGATTAGTAAGTAGGTCGCTCTCTGCCGGCAGGTACAAAGCAATGCTTCGTGTCAGTAGACATTGAGTAGCAATGATTAAGGTCACACAAGAGCGACATTACTGAAATATTAATTCATAAAAACAATACGATACCAATGTTTTTGAAGCCATATCTCTTTTCAAAATGTGTTAAAATGAATAATTGTTTGTTCAAAGCAATGTAGTTGCAATTGAACCTGATAGCAGTTGTAGGGATAAAATGATTTACAAAATTACCAGCCATACATGCGTTTATTAACCTCATTTACAGGACAATTTAGTTAAATATAATTTAAAAATAATCACGTCTCTTTTTGTCAACAGACGATGACGAAAAAGTAAACATAATGCATACTAACGGCGGAAGTTTTCGACACGTGTTTATTATTTTAATATGGCCTATTTTATTTTCAAATACAAATCATTTGTTTTTGTTTGAACCTTTGATACACGATTTGTTGTCAAGCTTTACCATATGGACGTGTTCTTTTATTAAGCAAATAAAAATAGAGGCGTTTAATGTGTGTGCAAAAGTGAAAATTTCATATATAAAGAAACTATTTCATTAACGGAAGGGGATATCCACTCTAGTGAGTGCTGTGCCATGCACTAACCATGCATATGCAGGAAATATGCATTGTAAACTAGGCATTTTTATTGTTACATAATAAACTTTCAAGTGGCAATGCATTGCGGTTTATTAGTTCTTACTCTTCGATGAATAGCTTTTGAACTGTTGTGTGCCGTTAAAACTATATGCTCAAAAGAAAATCACAGCTGTTAAGTAAGTAAAATACATTGGTACCTCAGATATAAAAGTTTATTAATTTATTTTTAAGTAATCTGTTGAAATGTGTAAACTATATCTGTAAACATTGTTTCCCAGTTTAAAATTTTTATTTATTTTCAAATCCAATGTGTTACAAATTCGATTCGTGATCTCGTGTTATTGATGTAGATAACAGATAAATACATATTAATTTCGAGCTTTTTCTATACTGGACTCCATAATCTTTGTATACCCAAAGAACCTCTTATAAAGGTTTCGAAACCATAAATAGTTTTCTCTTTCAAGAACCCAGGACCGGCTGTCACATTTCCAGTTACAAACATCAATTTCCCTGTCTTTCATGAATACTTTTAAAATTCTATTTCCTGTTTTTTTATGAAGAATAATGAATTCCCTGACTTTTCCCGATATTCCTGTTTTTTCAGGCTGCTATGAACTCTGGTAGTGGTTTGAAATATCTCAAAAATATTAGGTTTTGAATTTATTGTTACTTTATTGCCACACATTGATTATACATTTTAAAAACATTTATAATTATTTAAAAAACCTGTGACGTACGTTTTTTTTTTCACAAAAGGTCCCCCAATAACTACGTCACTGGATTATATTTTGAAATAAGTTATCCATAAAAAAATAGTCCATATTAAAAAAGTGTCGTCCCCCAAATGAAAATGCATCAAAAATTTTTATATGGCAAAACTTGATTATCTTCATCGGTAGAATATGACACTAAAGTTTGGCTAAACTTATCATTTATACCCTGTATTTTGTTGCCATAGCGAGACAAAAATTGACAAATTTTAGTTAGACCTAAAAGATAGAATAACACAACAAAGGATATCTAAATTTAATACTTTTCTAATATTTTCATAAATTGAACCACTGAATATTCTGCAAATTCGATCAGTTCATTTGATGGCTAATCATTGTATGTATTTCCAAGAAAAAAAATATCTTACATTATTTTCGACAATTGAGTCCCGTTTTAGTTATGATTTGTGTTGTATAAAATAAACTTCCTAAACACTGAAATAAATTTTTTTGGAAGATGTTTTTCGCTTCGTTAATATTTAATTACTATTTTGTGTCTTACATTTTCCAGCAAGTTTGCTAGGTCTTGTTAAAGCTAATATTTTTACAATTTATCTTTGCAAGGGGTATTTACATAATCTTCTATCCCCCTTATATTTTTAACCATCCGTCTAGAAAAAAATAGAAAGGATTTAATTTTTAAAAAAATTGTTTGCTTTTTCATAAAAATATTTAAAAAATAATAATTAAATGTATTTCGGAGAAATATACTAAACTTTTGTTTTTCTAAATAAACCACTATTTGTATTTATCACCTTTTTCTGATTCTGATTTCTGATTACATGTCATATACAGGGTGGGCCATTAGTGTGAGACAGTAAAATAACTCCCTTGTTACTCATAATACAGAAAAAAAGTTTATATAAGAGTTATACAGAATCAAGAAACCTAAACTACAAAATTAATTTTATACATACAGGGCGATGACTAAAAGCGGGACACGCCAAATATTATATTTTTTAAACGGAACACCTATATAATTTTAAACATACGGATTTCCGAAAAAATTCTATATATGGCAATATAAACAGTTTATCATTTTAGTGCGGGGTTGCCAAATTATGTAGAAAATTCTTCGAATTTTGAAAAAAACATGACCTCGAAGAAGTTGTATTAACTGTCAGCTACTAACACTTGGAACAAAATAATTAGACAGAGTTATAGGCAAATGTTAGACAAAGGCTCCTATATTAGCTAATGTCGATATTTTACACAGGGCATTTTTTATAATACGATCATTTTTAGAAAGTTTGAACTAGATTTTCTAAAATTTTTCAAATGGAACACCCTGTATTTTTATTATTTTATAGAATACCACAATTAAATATTAACTAATAAAATTAACTCCAAATGGAATGATAAATTATGAACTGACAAGTTGACACAATGTGACAATTTTTTCCAAAGCCATTTTGTGCGACCGAAAATAATAAAAATTAGGTTTTCCCAGAAATGTTGCTATATCTTAAAAACTAACAACTTTAGATGTAGAACATACTTAATTAAAGTTAAAGTGGACTGATATGTGAATAAAATAGAACAATAAAATACAGGGTGTTCCATTTGAAAAATTTTAGATAATCAAGTTTGAACATTCTTAAAATGATCGTATTATAAAAAATACCCTGTATAAAATATCGATATTAGCCAATATAACTTTACTAATATAACTTTGCCTAACATTTTTTAAACTGTTTATATAGAATTTTCTCAGAAATCCATATGTTTAAAAATATACAGGGTGTTCCGTTTAAAAAATATAATATTTGGCGTGTCCCATTTTTTCTCATCGCCCTGTGTGTTTAAAATTGATTTTGTCCCTTAGGTGTTTTGATTCTGTACAACTTTTATATACACTTGTTTCTATGTTATGAATAACAAGGGAGTTATTTTACTTTCTCAAACTAATGGCCCACCTTGTATTTGCTTTCATAGCTTGCACAATATTTATTTACTGATCCTCCACAATGAATTAAGTCAAGATTACCTTGCACCCAGTGTATAAATATCCGCTATTAAATTTCCATGGCAATCTTGACTATTTGTAGAATCCGTGAAAACAAACAAAATATTGTACAAACTCTCAGAGCAAATATGACATGTACACATAACGTATATTATTGTAATCAGAAAAGGTAGGAATTTAAAAAATGGTTGATCCATTCAGCAAACCGCCAATTTGTGGTTTATATCACCATATTTCTCCAAAATTGGAATAAAATTTCCTACAACGTTCTCTTTACCATTTTTTTCCTTTATAGAAAGGTAAAAAATATAACGGGGTTGAATGTTGTGCAAATGCCCTGTATATACAGATAAGCACTCTGTATCTTGAATTTTCTGTTTAGATTTACTTAAGAAAATTGTTTTACTTGTTCTAACTTATTCTTTTTTTTTTCAGGTGAAGTGAATTCTCGCATCCATGACCTACACCTGCAATTTGTGACTAAAAGTGTCTCGCCGGACGGTGAAAAAGTAAAGTTATTAAGTGATAGTAAAGATTCGGTAACTAGTCAACGGACAAACAGTAGGAGGAATAGTAAAAGTGAACTAGACAAAGTGCTCGGTGATAAATTACCTAAAGTTAAAGTGCCCGATAGTAAAAAATTTGCCGCCATATTGAAAGAACACGATCCCTTGGTGCTACAGAGACATCTGTTGTCGTCGACTGTGCAAAATCAGGTATGTCGATTCACATTTTCGAGCGTCTTCAAAGTAGAATTCGTATGACTTAAGGTAATCTATCTGCGAGTCTATCTGTATTTCTTTCAATTTTGTTATGTTTTTAATTAAAATGAACTTTAGAAATACAAGTTTTTTTTATTAATAAAACTATCGAATGACGCAGTCCCAGACATACAGACTCATTAACTCAAGAAACGCCCTGCGAGTATACAGGGTGAATCATAATTATTTTCTTAATATTTCCAGAACGACTTAACAGATTATTTTGAAATTTGGTGTTTCGTGTTGAACCACTCTGGAAGTATTAAGAAAATACAATTTTTTATGAACATCCTGTATCTACGTAAGGAGGCGTTTTGGAACAAATTATTTAATTATTGACCAATTATTTTGATCTAGCGAGAAGTTTCGTTTAAATTTTTTACACCTAATTGTGACTTACCCTGTATAGATATTTTTACATATTTTGATACAATGTCTTCTCAGGATTACAGTGATATAAAGTTTCAAGGATATGTGGCCAAACATAATCTCAGAATATATAACAAATTACAGGCTGTTCCGACAGATAAAGCATAGTTTAGACCTTCTAAAAACCAGAAATCCCCTTACAAATTTTTTGGAAAGCATGATTTTAATGATTTTTTTATATATAGTACAGATATAGACATATAAGAGGGTTTTAGTTAAATACTACAAAAATGTTGTATTTAATTTTATTAAAGCTAAAGTGGAATTTGCTGAGCCAGTATTGGACCATGAAACAGGTAACGTGATCACAATGTATTTAAACAATTTTCGGATTTCTTATGTATAAAAAAAATTCAGAGATGTCCCGATTCGAAAATATGGTGATGGAATTTGGTATTGCTAAATTTTCAGTTAAATGAGAAATCCGAAACATATGTTTTTCTTAGCGAAAGTCATAAATGGTTATGTAAATTCTGCTGACATATTATACAGTGTGGAGCCAAATGGAATCAATTCAGAATCTCAATTATTGTGCACATTTATAAAAAATCTCGAGACACGTCGATTGTGAATTCTGAAATGGCATCTTGCAACGTAAAAATTTTATCCACAAATTCAACCCTCTTCCTTTCAAATGAGGTATCACAAGCTTTTACTTTGCATTTAAAAATTTAGTTATTGTAACTACCATTCAAAGGGGGTTACATTGCAGGATGTCATTTCAGAATCCGAAATCGACGCGTCTCAGGATTTTTTATAAATATGCACAATAATTGAGATACTGAATTTATTCCATTTGACTGTTCCACACTGTATACATTAAACTTTTATACCGCTGCCAGAATTCGACCAATAAATATACTTTTTAAAAACAGATATCTTACTATTTTAAAAAAGGACTTCCCTATAGTGGAAATATTTTTAACCAAGAATAATATATATCATGATATTCATTTAAATATTTTTAATATAAATTCAATCAAACTGAAAAAGTCTGAGGGTTGCTTTCGCTGTACAGCAAGAATAAAACGCTCTCTCAACGGTAATAATAAATAATTTTATTGAAAACTAGTGTATAGAAAACTTGTGTATGAAAAGACGTGTTGACGGGGTGAGTGTTCGTTGGAGAGTGCCCTGGTTCTGGAGTCGGTGGTAGGTATATTCGTAGTTGCTGGTAGAAGTCCCTGCTCCTTGGCGCCACTCTGCAGGGGTCGTCTTCCGGGAACCCCGTGGTGCGTCCGGCGGCGTTCTTGACGTTGTGCTGACAGGTCCTAATTAAATATTTCAAAGATTCCGTTGTTTAAAATTGCTATGTTAATAACATTGTTAATTTAGATACCCTTTTTTGATGTATGTTTTTGTTTTCATTCTATATTCGTTATTATATATTAATTAATTTGATTGCGACATAATTTTAAATTTAGACGTAGTGTCTAATAAATACTTTAATGTAAAAATTTATAAGGACATTGTAAATGTTTGGGGATGATAAATTAACCAATAATTACTAACTGATGATTATATTTGACAAATAATAAAGTTTGATTATGGGTCTGCAATTCTGAAAATATTAGGTCCTGTGTAAAATTATGAAAATGAGTTATACGCAGAATTAATAATTGGCTAATTTTTCATCTCCAAGCATTTTCAAATCCTCCCAGATTTTTAAATTGGAAGGGAACTTCATAAATCTTAAACATTAGGTCTGTATACAAAAATTTATCGATCGAGCTTGAGATATATGGGACTTTTTATACAAAAAACCGAGGAAAAAACCTAACATTAATTTCCCAAAAATTGCTTCTAAGAGTAATCGCAGCAGGTCATGAATTATTGACGGGACTATCATAATTTGTTCAGCAAATACATCTAGAAGGCCACTCGAGAGGTCACTGCATTTAAAAAAAAAGCAGTCGAATCGTGCGCGTCAAAAACATTTTGGAGGAGTGTCCTGCTTTTTAGTGAACCACATTTTATCTGGAATGAAAGTTGTTATTTTGGTACAGAAAATTGAATTCCTCTAAAGGTAACAAAATTACATAATAATTAGAAATCTGCAAATAAAATTCCAATTTTTTTCTATTCATTTTCATAAAAAATATAGCAAATAATTAACTATTTTTTAGGCGTTTCCACACATGTACTCTGTTGTAGATAACACTTGTCAAATAAATTTTGTAACAATAATCATTATTTACACAAAAACATCTTCTACAGAATTTTAAATAACCACTCAAATGTAATTTTTTGATTCGTAATAAAGTGTATACACTAAACAGGTACTGCTTACATTGTGCTATCTGCGTAGCATCAGTTAATCTGGCTTATTGTTTTGTTTTAAAATTTTTAATACTTTTTTTTATTATAAATCGTTATCATCTTCACACAATTGAAGGTTTTCCCAAGATTTTTAATAATCTAATTCTAATTATAATTGAAACTGCAGAACTCTCTAGATAAGATTTAACGAAATATATTCATCAAGGTTAAGTTTTAACCTTGGATTAGGTTAGATATACACGAAGGAATTTTGCATAATGTATCTCCAATGAATACTAGGTTCTCGTAAACAAAGCAATAAAATTTTATAGATGTATATTTAGGTTCATTTATTAAACAGTTATAAAACTATGCCCCGAAATTAGAACTTAATAATGTTTTTCTTCTTTAATTATGGAATAAATAATTTCGTAACTAACCATTTTTAATATAGGTTGACACTGTTATAATAAAAGAACAGTTAAATACTTAATAAGATTATACAGCAAATTATTGCTGTATTTATAATTTTTCTTCTGAAATTTGCAGCATTGATTTTATTCTTAAGCTATACAATTGCCCTATAAAGTTTCATTCACCAAATTCATCTTATTCGCAAGTTTCAGTAGCATAGTGGGAACGTTACCAGGCTAGCACCGGAGCTCATTGTCTTCCAGAACCTATTGCCCTACTATTAAAGCCTCTTGTCTTTGTCACTGACATTGCTGACTCTCTTCTTGATGTGCGCATCTTGAATTTGATCAAGCTGTACTCCATACTCTACTATAACAAGCTCTTATTCCATTAAATGTGTCTTTAAATCGCAATTTTTGTCAACTTGCCTGAATTTTTGATATAAGTTACTTTGAGGTAGCTATATAATCACAATAAGTGCCAGTATTTTTTTTTTCAACCCCCGGCCAGGGGTGAAAGAAGATAAAATAAAAAGGTTTTTCAATATAACTCAAAAGGGGTAGGAGCTAGAGAAAAAAGTTTCTTATAAAGAGTGGAGAGCATAAAATTCTACATAAAAATGGTCTATTGGTTCTTTCTTGTACTATTAAAATTAACAGAGTTAAGGAAGACTAGAAGTTAAAAGATGATCAGAAATTTAAAAAATCATGACAAGCAGAAAAATGAATGAATTTTACAATTTTTTTTCAATCTACTCTAAAAATTGCAAACTTTCGTTTCAGAGAAATAGATATTTTAATAATTTCAATTTTTTAATCGTTAATTTTTATTATTTAACACAAACAATTTTTTTCTATGCCATTCATTTGATTATTTAAAATAAAGAAAAGTTGCTTTCGAAATTTTGTTTTACGACAATCACGTTCGCTTTGTGGAAAAGATTTATATTTTTATGTATTTTTTATGTTCGTTTTTAAAACGGCAAAAATTTGAAAACATAAATTAGTTTTATTTATAATTAGTAACGTATCTACATACCGATATTGGTTAATAAATAACACGTCATCATATTAAAACAATTTGTTTTCACTAAATTATTTTTCATTTGTTTCACTGTCTAACAATTGATTAAAACATATATTTACAACTAGTAACGTATTTCCGTACCAATATTAGTTAATAAATCATGTAAAAAATCTTATTTTTTAGAAAAGATAGATTGTTTAATGTTCGGCGCTTCGACCACAGGAATATCAAAAAAATAAGTTATACAAAAGCAATCTGGTCTACCGAATTATTTTTCATTGTTTCACCATGTAGGTTGATTTAAAAACGACTGGCAATGCACTAATACACACAAGAATTAGTGTAGTTTAAAAAACTAATCATAACTCGACTATTCATTTATTTAAGAAAATAATAATTTCAGATTCGTATTCAGAACACATACTAATAATACCCTTAAAAAACTGACCCCCATTTAAAGTTACACCCTGTAGGTATATCAAATGTTTGTAGCTTGGTTTTCACCACGGTTTGCACACTACACAAATACGTATTGAATGTATTTAGATTGAAGAGTTTGTATATAATAGATAAATCAAGGACAAAAACTACTCATGAAAACAATTTGGTACACAGCTGTCATTTGTCTATATTTTACATCAATGATAAATGCAATTGTTTTAGAGATTCGATAATGACATCAACATATGACTGATATGTAATTTGACCTAGAGTCAGTTAAAAAAGAAAGTAGTACTATTAAATTACATCATTTGGGCAATTGTTACATTTTGTGATTTTTAAATAACATATTTGATATTAGTATTGCAACATGTTAAAAAAGATAT